ATCTTTTGAAGCCTGGAAGGCAAATATCAGGATGCAGTTTTTTTAGGGCTGCTAACAGGAATAAGGAAGCCTTGCTCCCCTTAATAAAGCATGTGATGAAGTCAGGCAATTTAACTTCTCAGTTTGGCATTTGTGACCTTGGCCAACGTGTTCCCTTTCCTTAGGGAGCCAAAGTGAGAACTTGGCTTCTAGTATTCTGAAAGTACTTTATGACGCTTAATTCATGCTTTATATTACTTCCTTACTTTAGAGGTAGGTGTTTTAGTAAAGTATAGCTTTTTCAATTTAAGTAAAAGTTACAGAATAGCACCATTTCAGTTAACTTGGTATATTCATTCTTAATTGTTAAATAGTTTTAAATTTGTACTTTGAACAGAAGTGACTACTCATAAAATGAAGGCAAATCCTTTATTAGGATAATGAATTGCTTCTTGTTTTATGGTGTGTCATCACATGAGAACAAGCGGTCATTTATTAAAATTAATATTGTGTGTAAAACAAAGGCTGTGCTACCACAGTGAATATGGGGAATTTAGTATTCTGGGAGGCTGTGTTCTATTATCAGCCTCAGGGTACATGTTTTTATCCCCTGTGAAGGACTAAATCTGTGATGGTAATCAAATATGCTTCTAGGTGATCTCTTTAGGAGGCAATTTTTTTTTTTTTTGCATATATGTAGCAGCCTAGAGATTAATGAATATGAGAATCACCATACCAATCGCTGTGATAGTGCCAGCATTGACCATGGCACCTGTTATTAGCATTGGTTCCACTCATCTCCTGTCCTAGAACTGTTCTGGAATCAGAACTGCATAGGAAGCTTACCTCTGAGGGAATTAAATTGGAATTAGCCTGGTTCAGGCTGGTTGTCCTATTTAAAGTACAATTCTTCTCATAGCCACAAAGGGTCAAGACCTTTTTCATGCATATCCAAGAGATGCTTTTAGTAGCATCCCATTTCTTGAGCCATGTTGGCTGAGGATTGACTGAATGAGTAGTGCTGTAAAACTCTAAACTGTCTGAAGTATCAGGGTTTTATTGAAGGCCTTGTAGGTAAGTACTGAAATTGTGTATGGGAAGCTTTGTGTATGCTGGCAAAATGCAGTGTTGGCTAGAGCTAAACCAATCTTCAGAACCCTAATTTTGGTTGCTCTTTGGAAGTAGGTCTAGAAACTTAGACTGCGTTTACAATTTGATTATACCACACTGCTTTTTTTAGGCTGAATCATGGTGAATCTTGGAAACTTGGCCAGCATTCTTAGATCTGGGAGGATGAGAAAAGATGGTATTTTGGGTTTCAGCTAGGATTTCTAGGAGTGATTTCCCAGACAAGAGTGCGTGTAGCACAGTTGCTACTCTTTTGAACATGAGCTTTTGCTTACTGGACTTATCTACCATATCTGCTGCCAAAATGTAAGCTAGTTTCTCAAGTCAGACTTCTCTTGCATCTGGACCATCATTCACTGTAGTGAGCTAAATGCAAGATAGGTAGCTTTTCGAGATGAGCTTTTAAAATGGGTAAAGATAAGTGTTGCCTTCCTTAAGGAGATTTCAAAAATAATGACCCATTTAATAAGCTGGCTTTTTTGTGTCTTTTAAGGAAGCTTTTCACCTACCAAAATACCGATAGACTTAGGAGCCCTCTAATGATTACTGCCATTTCTTTTACTGAAATCTGAATGAGAACACTCAGATGCTGGGATAACAAATTCAGTGTCAGATGAGAGGAGATCACTTGGCAGCTGTTTGCTGGGTGATCAGTCTGGAAATTAACAGTTCCTGGATAAAAAGGAAAATGTATAGATTGCTGGCTGTCTGCTTCCCTTGGCTGTTGGTCTCAAGGTACTTCTCACTACTCAGTAAAAAAAGAAAAAAAAAACCACCAAAGCAGCCCCTCAACCCACCTACTATTTCAGGGAAGAGTGAGAGGGAATGAAGGTGGAAACTGTTAGGCTTGTGGCCTTTCCTTAATCTTGTAGTTGTGCCACCTCATTTCTGAGGATACAGTGGAAAAAGGACAGGCACAAAGAATCAACAAGTGCGATCAGTAATATATTGTAGAGCCTTTATGAGGAGAGATCAGACTTTTGAACCCGGCAGTGTATGCTGGTGCTCATTGCTGGTGATGGATCCTTCGCTTGTTGGGTGCCAACAAGAGAACAACCATATTGAATCAAATTAATTCCCAACAGAGTAGATATGTGGGATGAGCTTTAGATCCCAGTAAAATGAAGACAGCTCTCTTTTAAAAGGTGCCTTTTAAAAGTCTTAGGTAGACAAAACTGATTCTCCAGTCTTACGAAACTGATTGGCCTAAGTGATCATTTTTACCCAATCTTACCTGCCATCACAGAAACAGACCTTCAGTTTTCCAGAGTTCTCTTGTCATTCTCTGTGTCCAGACGGGATCCTTCACCTCAGACATGCTCATTTCTGTCCTTCCCGCTTCTGGTAGCCTGAAGTTGTGGTCAAGCAGAAGTCAACTACTTTGTATTGCTACTTCTGCTATTACCATTTGAATATGTATATAGTATTTGAATAAATACTAAATTTTGCCAAGCCATTTAATGAATTAAAAAGGTACATAGATATGTATGTTCAAATGGAAAAGATTTGTCTGAATTTCATCTGACATGTTTCTTTGCACCTCTCTTTGGAGAGCCCTGCTTCAGCTTTTTATCATAATAAGCTTTGGTCCCAGGCACAACTAGAATGCTATGAAGCCTCTGCCATTGCTTTAATTTGCAAATCTGGTCTCCATCTGTACTGTGAATTATGGTGAAATTTAACATTCTGTTTACTGGGTGACATGGAGGAACTCCATTAATTGGTTGTGCTACAGGGTTAGTTTTGGGAGGGGAAAAGAGGGAATTACTGCATTAAAAAGATCTGTCCTCGTCTGGGGAAGAGATTATTGGTTTTCCATGAACATTGAGGAAATCCCTCAGTGGTTTTTCCAGCCACTCCAGCAGCTGGAGACTTTCACAAGATAATGGATATCTTGTGAGGTAAAGACAGAATTGTCCACAGCATTAGTTGTGCTGGGTAAATGCTTAAGGGGGTGGAGGGAAAGGCAGAACAAAACAAACACAGAAGCTACATGGCTACTAGGTAAAGAGCAGCTTATGTATGTTAAACAGTGAGAAGCTGGGTAGTGTTTGGTTTGGTTTTTTATTTTTTGCTGATGGAAGAAGGAAAAAGTCTGACCTCTGACACCTGTGATACGTTCTGGAAGTTCTAAGCTAAAGTACAGAACAGTGAAATTTGATGACCAGGTTACATTTGTACTCTGGAAAAGCAGTACCCTCTCTTGTACTGCCATGTTCACTTACTGCAGATTTTCTTCAATGAAAATGGTGTGCAGCTGCTAAGTCTGTGTTATGCTTACTGAAAGCTATATATCTAATAGCTTAGGACTGGTAAAAAATCAAACTACACCCTTATTGCTAGTGTGCTGGCTATTATGATCTCGCCTAGATTTCCTGAACTTTTTATTGTGTAAGAAACTAACAAATGTTATAAAAAGGACAATAAAACAAGAGATTTGGATAAAAATTGGTTCTGTCTCATTGATCGTGTTTATTTCAGGGAATTTTTTCAATGCTGGTAACAAGAAAAGTGGAAGAAATATTCACAGGGAAAAATTAAAAATGCTTGAACAGATCAAAGCATTGACTAGCAATTTTGATAACGCAAAACCAGTGGTCGGTACTGTGATTGTATTTTGTGCAGGGAATATTTGCTGATTTACAGTCATACATACCAAAGGGGTATTTAGTGCAATACTGCTGTGTTTATTAACATGTATTTGTCAAAACCTTGTAACGCTAAAGTAGAGGATGAATAGAAAAACAAGGATTAAGATTAAAGTGTAATACTGGAGGAGGAAGAACTCTGAACTCTTTGTCTTCAGTCTGTTTCCAGACTTCTACTGCTGATGACTGAGACTTTCAAAGGATGTAAGAAACACATGTGCCAAATCCTTGGAAGTTTTTATGGAGGCTGCCCTCTGACTCAGTTTTCAAAGCTGCATGAGAGCCTTTTAACCCTGCACACTGACCTGTCTCTTCTAGGTCAGGTGCTGTAAAGGTGTCTCGCCATAGCCTGCCCTTCTCCTGTGTTCCAGGGAACTGTTTCACTGTGGAGGCTGCCAAGCGAAATTTGGGCTTTTTTTTTTTTTAATGGTGTTTTCTGCTGATGCGTTCAGCCGACAGTATAGTTCATCTATGCTGCTGTTAACTCACCTGTAGGGCAGGTGCAAGGCTTTTCTTAGGGGAAAGGTGAGGGTGCCTTTGTGAGAGTGAAGATAAATAGCACGTGGATTTGCGCAGCCATGTTGGTGAAGCTGATGTGTTCTGCATCTTGCCTCTCTCCTGCTCTGTGTTACATCGTAGACCAGGCATGTACATCAAATTGACTCTAGCTAGCATTGAATTGCAGCTCACCTTATGTGGAAATAAAATAAGCTTTGTAACGGTATGCCAGGACCCTGTATAGGGAACTTCATATGTGATTGTGGAACAGGCGGGTATCTACTCAGTCCCATGTTGTGCCACCCGCCAGTCCTTCAATATAAACTCAGTACCAGTGAGCAAATACAAACCTGGGGTTAGCTTGCTTTGGGAACTGCGTAGGTTCTTCTCCACCATGTCTGTAATATGTCAGGAGTATAGCAAACTGGTGTTTGCTTAAGAATTATTTCAGCATTGCCTGAAAGCAGATTTGTCACTGAAAGCATAAGGCATCTGGTGCTATAAATAGAAATGTAAAGTAACTTGGTAAATGCTACCCATTCTGGGTGACCTCGTGTCTTACTGTTTAACATAATATGCAGTATTGTACAATCAGCTGTTCATTGGGTGCCTTTAAAAACCTTTGCAATTTTTCTATTCCTCAGCCCGTAAAATTCCAGGAATAACAACTGAAAAACAATTGGTTTATTGATATGTTGTAGGAATTCACTCTGCAAGGTTCCAGTGCTAATAGTCTCATTTTTCCAGCATGCCTTGAATAGTGGGATACGACGCTACCATGTTGCTCCTGTACTGTGCCAGCGGGCCAAGGTGGCCATGAGCCACTTTGAGCCTAATGAACACATAAATTACGAAAAGCTGGAGAAGAACATCAACATTGTCCGTAAGAGGTAAGAGTGGAGGAGGGAAGAGGGGAAGGGTCAATGTGCAGAATTCAACTCTGCAGTGATGGCAGAGGAGGAAAAAAATGACACGGGGCCCTGGCATAGGGAATATTTACTAGGGAGAGCAGCTTTGAGTGGTGGCAGTCACGAATGTAGTGAAACGTGAATTGTAGTGTCCCCAGGTAGCGGTGGGGCACTGTGGGAAGGGTTGAAGGTTACGGTGAAGCACTGCAACATGCAGAAAACCAGGCCAGTGCAGAGGAGGTGCTAGAAAGGGCTCTGTCCTCTTTGTTTAATGCCCTCTTTGAGGAGCCTTCGTATTGACCCTTGCTCCTTTCTGGAGAAGCAGCGCGTGGGCAGTGGTCATTATAGGCTAATGCTCCTTTGCATTGTGTTTTGACAGTGAATGTTCTCCTGTGTTCCACTGTAGGCGTTAGGCATGGAAAGGAGGGCTAGGAATTCGTAGCATATGTAAACACAGTGACCTTAATCTGCTGATAGAGGCTTTTGTGCTTGCTAAGTTGTCATTTCTGCACCACTTACCTCAACAGTGGTTTGTATGACATGTCCTTCAGTCTTTGTGTCCTTTGTTAAATGTGGTAGCTCTTATTTCAAGTCATTGTATCTACTTAGTTCCTCTCAGAAGGTCTCACCACTGACATAAATAGGTTCTTCAACTGATACAGCTGCAAGATGAAAGGTCTGAGGTCATGAAACTCCGCTTAGTTGTACTTGCTTGCTGTGGGATCTGGTATTTGTGAATTGAGTCTGACCTGTCTCACCTCCACATTTGCTGTCCTGAGGTATGACTCAAGAAATGAGCAGAGTCAATGTTTCTCTTACTCTATAGGAAGATTATAAAAGAAAGCATAAAATGACATAAATTCAGATACTTTGGAACTTTCTGGACTGAGCCCTTCTTTTAGCAGGCTGCCAGTTGATATTTTAGTGCTGTAAGAAGAGCATGCAGGTTTCTGTGTGTTAATAGGTCTTAACAGTCTGAGTGATATAGGGAGGCGTTCTGTTACGTGCTTGAAAGGGCAAGTGTTGAAGTACACAAGATGCAGATATTAAAATTTTTCTCCCCAGGCTTGACCGTCCCCTGACCTTGTCTGAGAAGATTGTATATGGACACCTGGATGACCCAGCAAAACAGGAGATTGAGCGGGGCAAGACCTATCTGCGCTTACGACCAGACCGTGTGGCCATGCAGGATGCCACTGCTCAGATGGCAATGCTACAGTTCATCAGCAGTGGGCTGCCAAAAGTGGCTGTGCCTTCCACCATCCACTGTGATCACCTCATCGAAGCCCAGTTAGGTGGTGAAAAGGATCTTCGAAGAGCCAAGGTCACTATTGCAGAGACTTAAATTCTGTCTGTTTGAAAGCCTCTTTC